AAGCCAAAAATTAACTACATAAAAGGAAGGGGCTGCACTGCAGGCAATTTTAACTTTTTATCAGAAAGTGGTCCTGCCTTCTACTACTTTGTTCTGTTAGATTTTGACTCGTAACAGGCTGGGACGCATTAAAACTAGGCTTGGAGGCTGTGTCTACATCTTAACAGACCTGCCACCTTGTCAGCCTCCTGTAAGGGTAAGACATAGTGTTGACGGCCAAAGAGACCAGACAAGAAGGCTAGAGGACGAAGAGACAAGAAAATGTGAAGAGGAGTGGGGACGTGAATATGTCTGTCAAAGGGAAGGGCATGCTCTTGACAACAGAGCAGAAAGGATGGAATGTCAGGAATACAGTAACTTTGTGAGATGTTGCTTGGCTGACCCGTGGCAGTGTAGGCAAGCGAATAGGAGCAGTTTATTTCGAAACGAAACTAAACCAAACCTAAATAAAACAATACTGAGACTGGGAATAACACAGCATCCATGAAGTAAGTGAAAAACATTATAAAACGCTAGATTATTCTTACTATTCGGAAGATCAGGGTATTTCGGATACCAGAGAGCCTTTATTACTCTCTTCCGATCCTAGTTCAGTAAATGTAGTCAAAGGAAGACGGCATGAACGCTGTTTTGATTGCAGTCCCCTTGGGCTATAAGAAATTTGGCTATCCTCGTTTTCGTAACTTAGTCATGTTGTAGAGCTGAGCCTCGAAGCAGACACCTTGTTCTTCGTCTTTGGCAATTTCCCGGTCGGAACGTGGACTAGATAAATTTCCAAATGCTTAGCCTGCAACCTAGTCGACAGCATCAATAAAAAGCGTCATACTTGGTACAGAGATTCAGGAGATACTTCTTATTGCTAGGATTAGTAATATTTAATAACGATGCCAACTAGGATTCCGGCGAAACGTCTGTTAGTTTACCAGATACTAACATGATCTGACACTGAAATGGCTAATAAATACTATGGCAGATAATAACGGATAAATTAGGTTATTTGAGGTCTATCCGACACCACGACCAAGTCGCAAAAAAAAGGTCGGAGTAATTCTATAAAATGGACCCTTTTCTCTCAAGAGTGAAAGCTTGAGTAGATCTGCAATTTCTACCCATTATCCCTGTTGTTAATAAAGGGATTTTGCAGGTTTCCTCATCTGTCCTGTTTAACTGGAGCATGCGGTGGAATTTTTGTTTTTGTAATACTATGCAAATACTTATTTCCACGACGGCGTGAGGCTATGGAATAAAGTGTTATTAGCATTAAATCAGCGAGACCAATGCGAACTAAATCAGAAAGTTATTGTAAAATTCATGTCTATCTGAGCCTTAGAAAGCAGAAATGGACAATGAAAGACAAGTATGGGTTGGAAAAAAGGGCATAACAACTTGGAAAATAAATTAACTTTACTGAGATCACGCGCCTCCAATGATTTTGCCTGCCAGGCTAGTACGAGATTCTCAACCCTTGCATGCTAAGTGGGTTAAATTATTTTATTCATGAGAAAAATAATTGTTTTTTTTCGACGACAACGGCTTGCTTTGAATACTAATCAGGTCGCTTGCCTAAAATTGTCATCAAAGTAACATTCTGTTCGACATTTGTTATTAAAATTGAAGGCAGTCATTCGCGAATATTCTCACGTTGATACAATTAAAGGCCACATCGGGTCTGTCTAGATTAAGAGAACTGTTTTTTCTAGGTACATTTGACTGATGAAGAGATCTGGCAGCTCTATCAACTTCTAAGTGTCCTCCATCCCGTATCCAAGCCTCTTTAGCTATTATTACAATCTTCTTCTATGGAAACTAGCGTCCTCATAAGTCTTTTGC